TGCTCCTTTTCTGGCTAGTTTATCTGCAATTTTGTTGATGATAAGTCCAGCGTATGCCGGAATTTGTGGGATGTTTAGCTGGAGTGCCTTAAACTCCATCATAAGTGTTGGTACTAATTAATGAGAATTGTGACCTTTTATTGCTGCCCAGCTATCAGGTGAGTGACTTTTCTGTGGCTCTGATATTTACGTTCAAGATTTAAGGATGCATAGATGTCTATCGCATAAGATTCTAACGCTACGTGAAAGAGTATGAAAAATTAGTTATAGGCTAACTTCCTACAAACTATTATATAAATTTATTTGTATTAAATAAAATTTTGACTCATGTGTCTTGATTTTTAGATAAATAAAATGCTGATTGGTGCCTTCATATTAGTTAAAAGTTCTAATATTATCACTAAAATTATACAGTGATCATCATTTATTCATGAAACTTATAGGGAATACATAAGTTAGTCAATGAGATGGGTGGGACCCTGTAGCACCCCTAGCTATCAAAGAGTAAAAGTGCCCAGTTGCGCTGACTCGAAACAAAGGATCAACATAGCATTCTCTTAGAGTTCAAGTGCATAAGATTCTTATCCTTCAGTTCTTGTCGTCAACGTCAGATATAAGTTTATGTATAACCTACGAATATGATGAATTGGAAAAGATTATTGGCGTTTATACTCATGAAGACTTTTATACGCATGAAGACACCAATTCTGTTGTCGATTCTTGGTTTTTCGATATCTATTTGCAATAACCGCATTCGATTCTATTACGTTACATAGGAGTATTGAGTATTTTGAGTTGCCTGATTCTCATGTTTACTCATAACCAATATTTGTTGTTTTTGATCGAATCAGAGTTTGTGTGCTAAAAATAAGGATTCGGATGTCATTATATGCTTCGTTTTAAAATAAATTTCAATAACCACCATCTATTCCACTACTAGAAATAGGAAAGAATGACTGGGTGATAAACATGTTTTAGATTTTCAGTAACCATACTTGAAACATATTGCAGGTTATCCAAATAATTCAGATAACCGTAGTAGACTTCAGTCTCTTGCATTGGAAGTTTTGTTATAAAGTGATTAAATGAGAATGATTAATATAGTTTTCATTATTTTGAAAAAATAATGTAATATTTATTTAAGCATTACATAAAGTTTTTAGTGAATACTTTCACATATATTTTTATTAATTATTTTATGCCCTTCAAAACTTACTAAAAGTTAACATATTAACTGTTTATAAAATAGTGTAAACTAAAGCCAATAGCTTGGGAGCCTAAATCCCTTTAAGTGCTTTGCAGCACCAATGTTCTTAATGTTGCGAATATGAAGACTTCAGTGATATTATCAAACCAAAACAATGTCTATAGCTATTAAAACAAAAGATCATAAAGCACTGTTTTATGTTTACTTCATTATGATTTCAGTTTCCGTATTGGTATGTGGTTTTACGAGTTATCCATAAGAAGCGTTTCTACCATATGGTTTTGGTTTCACGTACTATTAATTTATTAATTTTTTGTTTATATATCTTCCCCATTGTTTTCATTATAGTTTTTTATGTTTTCTCTCCCATATTTGGGTAACATAATGACTGCCACCTTCCATACGATATGCCTACAGGTTCCTTTTTATGTGGGCGCGTTTAATGGTGTGTAAAAATGTGACTTTATTCGCATCGCCTGGCAATTATATCAACTGTTTTTATTTTCCAAACATTAAAGTACAAAAAAAAAAAAGAAACAATAATAAACTTTTTGGTGTATTTAATCAAGGATTTAAGGATGTACTAAAATGTGAACACTTTGACGAACATATGTGAATACTTGTTAAAAAGTATAAAACAATCAATACTTTTAAAATCTGTAAACAATGTTTTTATCCTTGTTTCAGTTTTTTAAATGAAAATGTTTGTGGTTTGAAGTAGTTTTAATGAATGTACATTTGTTTTTAAATGTCGACATATATTTATGTACTCGGAAATCCATATACTGGTATATGTATATAATTGGATGGTTGGAATGGTATATATATTTAAAAGAGTGGTTTGTTACATATTTATGAAAGGAATTTCAAGGATTAAAGAGAGTATTATTAATGCAAAGTCAAGTAAAACATAAAATATTTAAGTCAATGTGAACCCAATGTTTATATTTAAAAAAGTTAATTTGACGTCAATGAATATAAACAAAAACGAGATGAACACTGCATATTGTGATCTGGGACTTTCTTGCGAATAATGAAATTGTCTTCTGCATATCTTAAACACCTAAAACTATGTTATAGTTTAAAAAAGTAAATTAAATTATACTTATCATTAAAATAGAATTATAAATTTTAATGTTAATTTTACTTATTATATTTTTTCATTTTCATTTAAAAAATATGTTTATATTTCCATTTATAAAATATGTTTATTTATTTAGTCCAAAATTTCTTATAACAATTTGTTTATTAAATTTGATACGTCGTTTAATATTTTGGGGTACTTCCTTTGAAGCTACTGCTTTGAACTCAAAGCATTATAATTATTAAATTGAAAATATTATTAAAAATTATCTCAATCTACAAATTTTCTCTTCAACATAAAATATTTTAAATAAATTATTCATACGTCTTTAAACAGCAGTTTTATAGAATCATTAAAGCCCTGTTTATTTAAATTTTAAATTTACAAAACCAGATATACCGCAGTCAGTATCAACTTTCCATATATAAGTAATGACCGCTGCTAGATTTAACAATCTTCTAATAATGGTAACTTAATTCGATCATATCATATAGGTATGCATACATATTTACTGAGATACTTAAGTAATAGTAATTGATTTTCAGAATTTTCTATTGTTTCATCTTTGCTCATTACATTATCTTGAGTCGATATTGCTTGCTCATTTTAATGACTTTCCTTTATAATGTTGATATAATGATTCACTAATTTACAGCATACTTAAGGGCGCATACTTAAGCATCCTTTTCCGGAGGCCTTGTTTGATGTTAGTTTATGTTCACTTATTTGTTTGCTTTTTGTGTTGTCAGAATTTCGTAAACAAATTTAGCTTTTGGCTCAGATAAGTGCAAATAGGGTTAACAATTTGGTTGTTTAATGTCGAGGATGTGTGAAGCCACGTTTTGTTTTCCTTTGCAGTTTGCAGCTTGATTACTCTGCAGATTTTGTATGTTGTTTGTATTTTGCAAATTTTTAAATGCGAAACTCAGCAAAATACATACTGGTAAATATGTGCGAAGGATAATGGAGTATGAAGACCTTTAGTTTATTTAAACATATTTTTTTTAAATGCACTCAATTCCTTTGTTTTGTATGCACTTCCGAAGGTTCTTTTATTTAGGGATACCAATGATATGTACTCTGTGTTTAATTAAAATTATTTAACATGCAAAAAAAAAAAAAAAATTAAAAGCTAATACGTTAATTTCAACGTAATTTTTTTTAATTTGCTTAATATTTTTGTATGCATCACATAATTTTACATTGAACTTCTACAGCTTTTTATAGTCTAATGAACATCCGTTAATGATTAACGGAAAATTTATTTTTCAAAGCTTAAGTGCAATTCTATCTTAAGGGAACTAAGTCCTGAACAGATTACGAAAGCAAACGATAAATGTTGGCATATAAGTTAGTTATAGTACATTAAGACCGAAAAGTTTTCGGAAATTCTCATTTAAAATTCGCGCGCTGTATATTTTTCGATATTTTAAGTTTATGTAGTTTGGCAGCAATTAAGGACAATTACTATGCAAAAAATGAGAGCG